CAGGCTCGGGGGAGGGGTGGCCGGGCACCTCCAGATCCTGCCCTTCCCGTACCTTCAGGACTCCGTGAATGAGTCAGACATGGATTTCATGGAAAAGACTTGCCTAACGAGCTCAGGCAATGTTGACACTTGTTAGTATCATCGTTACTGTTAGTTCTATGGCATTTTTCAAACGTCTGGAGAGGCTTTTTGATGACTCAAATGCATTTGTAATTTAAGGAGTTACTGAATTCCTAGAATCAGGAGGTGGCAGTACAGGGTCCCCTACAGTCTGGGGAGTTTCCAGGATCCCTGGTCTGCTCAATTCAGGGAAGGTTTGGGTGTATTAAAATGATGCCTGCTCCTCAGTGCAGAGTCCCAGCTGTGCAGAGACGCAGGGGCTCAACCAGGAGCAAGGGCTCAGCTGTTCCTGGTCATTGACCTACCATGACCACAGCCTGGGGGGCTACAAAACGCTCAGGAGCCTCCAGGGTCAGGGGGCACTTTGTCACAGGGCAGCCTGTCCTCCCAGAGGTCAGACCCCTGCCGCCCGGGCCATTACTTTCCACTTAACGATGACCTAGCAGTACTGCACCCCGTGAGCCTGGGCGTAGGGTGGCTCCAGAATTGTGACACTGTCTCGTCCAATGTGTTCTAAAGCTTGCCTGGGCCGGAATCCCAACGCCCCGTACACTAGCTCGAGGCTGACCTTAGGTAAGCTGTGCAGCTTCTCCAAACCTCAGCTTCCTCATCTGTGAAATGGGTATAACAGTAATGCCTGCTTCAGAGCGTCACTGTGAGGTCTAAATGAGCCAATGGTTATAGAACATACAACACAGTTGTGGAGCCTTATTATTAACAGTGAGATGAAAGTCTTCATCTGCAAAACGAGAACACTGTACTGGAATTGCATCATATGTGCGTAACTGGTGCAAAGTCCATTAACGTTTTGACGAGAGAGAAAGAAGAAGAAAGGTGGGAGGGAGGGCAGCAGGAAACTGATTTTCAAACATCTGGTCACTAAACATGGGCAGTAACTTCAGTGACTGCTTCCAAGGAGATCATGCCAGATGTTCGGAAAGAAGGAAAAGTATCCCCAAAGCCATTTGCATCATGTGTCATGGCAACTGAAATTCAGGAACTCCCGGGGGTAATTTGCTTATGCGGGACTGGTCACTTCACTTGCTGGCTCAGAACCTGACCCCGCCTGGGTGCAGTGGGCTGTGAGGATGAAGATGGTGAGTGGAAGCACTGAGCACCACCTCGCACATAGTAGGTGCTCAGCAAACCTGAGCTAGGCGGTGCTGATGGCTGCAGTTGTTGCTACTAATACTGATGTTGTCAGCAGGCTATTGGCGCGACTGTCTTCTCCCCATTGGCCTGGACTGGTCCATTGCTCTGGGCTTCTCTGGAGTCTGTCCCACCCTCATCTGCTGTCCTGTCTCTAGAAACCACTGTCCCTTCCTGTTTTCCAACCAGTGCACAAGTCTTCCTCTGTAGGGGGCACTCCTGGGGCTGGAGTCCCCTTTACTTGGCAGGCTGCCCTTTGCTCGTGAGTGTCCTCTTAGTCCAACCACCGCAGTTCCTGGGTCCGACCTGCACAACCCAGGCCTTGATGAACACCTGGCTGCTGGCAGCCGGGGTGACCGACAAAAGAGGCGGATCAATTACACTGACAACGCGGGCGAGCCTGGATTGATGCACCTTCTCAGGGGACAAGCTGTGGCACAGAGGGTCAGGTGCGTGTGTGCTGTCCGGATCCTGGTGTGGGAGATGGCGTGTGGCTGCCTGGGGTGGCAGGCAGAGCCGGGAGGTAATAAAAGATAGATAGAAATGGACATCCAATTTCCCTTATCGGGCTTCTGAGCAAGAGAGGCCTTGGGCGACATTAATTAACAGATACCAATCAGCCAGCCATGAGGGTGTGTGTACATAGGGAAGTGTGGTAATGCACTGGGGTTGGGGGTTCTGAGAGCAGACAGAATGGGAGGAAAGATGTAGGAGGTGGATGGGGCGAAATTAATAGACAGTTGAATTGGGAGGCAGCAGGGAGGGAGGGTGAGGTAGGATCGAGGCTTCTGGAAACGAAGGAGAAAAGCCTCCTGTGAGGCTAATCACTCAGGTGTGATCATGAGAAGAATGTGAATAGTCCGCTCCTGCCCCTTCATTCATTCAACAAACATTCACTGAGCACCTACTAAGTGCCAGGCCCTGGTGCCGGCCTTCAAGAGCTCGCAGTCAAGAGGGAAAGACACACCAAGTACTGTGTGTCACCGTGAAGTTACGACGGAAAGAAGAGCTGTGACAGGATGGAGGGCTCTGCAACACACAATGGGGGATATGGCTCAAATGAGGGTCTGGGAGGCTTCATGGGAGAGGAGACTCTGGGGCTGAGCTCTGAAGGGTAACGAGGAGCTCTGAGAGCACACACCTTGGTGCCTGTGTGCCCTGTGTGCCGAGCTTCCTGTCATCTCCCATCCCCACTGCCAAGCACGGGTCTTGATGCCAAGAAGGTGCCCAATAAGTATCCAAGTTGGAGGAGAAAACGGACAAATGCCACTGAAAAAATGTGCCCAAAGAACTTGGTTAGCCCCTCCCAGTCCTTCAGATAGGAGTGTGGATTTAGCTGCCTTTGAGTCGCCCTGCCCTCTGGGGAGAGGGGCTGGGGGGGGAGGGAGGGGGAAGGGAGGGAGACAGCACTTTGGAGGGTTTTGTGCTACTATTGGGGATACCTGGAGGCCTGAGTCCAGACCTCCCGGCCCCGCTGGTCTGAGAAGGGGACTAGGCCCCTGACTTCTCTCTTCTTCCTTCAAAAGGAACTGGAAATAGCTTTGAAAATCCAAATGCAAAGTGCTGGGCACGCACACGGGCCGCTTCCTTTGTGCAAGGAACAGGGAAATATTTGACCTTTTCTAGTATTTGACAAAAGAAACATTAGGAGGAAAAATGAGAAATAAAAACTGTTACCTCTAGGAGGACGGGGAGGGGGGGGGGACAGGGATGGAGCTGAGACTTCTGTGTATACATTTTTGCCTATTTTGGGCTTTTCAACCTGTCCATGTTTAAGGTGTCCAAAGATAAAAGGTATGCTCCCTCTAACCCAGCAATTCCGCAGCTAGGAATTTCTCTTAGAAAGAAAAAAAGCTTAAATACACCCAGATAAATGTGCAAAGGCATTGGCTGGACCAGCCTGAAATGGCCCAAAGCAGAAAACAACCCAAATGTAACCCATGTAATACATGCAATTATTACATAAATGTGATTATCAGTTAAATAAATGGCACAACAGAAGCTGCTAGAAGAATGAGGTAGAATGTGTGTGGATGTGGAAGACACTCAGGAGCGTAAGGGGGGAGGTGTAAGTGTGAAGGGCACAGAGGCCAGAGCCCAACTGGGTATTAAACTCCCAGCTTTGCCCAGCCGGGCGTGGCTCAGCGGCTGAGCATCGACCTATGAACCGGGAGGTCACGGTTTGATTCCCGGTCAGGGCACACGCCCGGGTTGCGGGCTCCATCCCTAGCAGGCAGCGGGCAGGAGGCAGCCGATCAATGACTCTCTCACCATTGACGTTTCTATCTCTCCTTCTCCCTTCCTCTCTATGAAATCAATAAAAACATGTTTTTAAAAAATCCCAGCTTGCTGACCACTGACCATTTACCTCTCTGTGCCTCAGTTTCTCCATTAGTAAAGCAGGAATAATAACAATACTGACCTCATGGAGTTGTTTGAATTAAATGAGCTAATGTGTGAAACACTTAGAATACGGCTTAGCACACGGTAAGTGCATCTACAGTATACAATTAAATGAAAGAAGCAGGGGAAAGCAATGTTATAGTATGATCCATGGAGGGGATGGAGACACACACACACACACACACACACACACACACACTAGTTGTACCTGTATAGGAAACTCCCAGAGGGATGCTCGAGACATTTGGAACTCATAATTTCCACCCCTCTGTCACATCCGACAAGTTTACTAGAAGCACGTATTCCTTTTATTTCAACCCAAACAACAGGGCTGGGGCATTCCTTCCCGCCCTTCAGCAAAGCACCCTTCACTCATGCTTTTTTGTGCTGGGGTCGGTCTCCCTTCATCAAGTAATTAGCAATTCTGGGGCTGCTGGGAGAGGCTGGATGTGGCCCATGCCCCTGGGAGTGCAGCCCTGTCCCTGCGCCTAGCTGACCCCTGAGGGCACTGGCCCCTTCAGGTTCTGCCCAAGCTGGCTGCCCCACTGGCCCTCTGTCCCTGGGTCTCCCACCTTGAGCTCTGCTGCCTCCAGAAAGTTGCTTTATCTGCACCAACTGATCTAATAACATTCAGGCTCTTCCCCATCCCCCAACCCCCAGTGATTTGACAGCACAAGCTCCTAGAATTTAAAGAAAAAAAAAAAAAAGAGCACATAATTTGTGGCAAGTGGAGTTCATAATCTGTTAATTTATTATCGTTTCTGTCGACCTGGAGGGCCATTAGCAGAGGTAATAAAGGGAGATGTAATTATAGGATCTGAGGCCACTCCAGACACAGCTGCTGTCACTCGGCAGCCCATATTTCACAGGCCGCTGGCATTCTGCTCTCCCCGTGCGAGCCAGACGGTGGCTACCCAGGAGCAGAGCCGCTGAGGGACCCTTGGTGAGGACAGGACGCCTCTGGGGGTCCCCTGCAGAGGCCACACACATGTCAGCCAGGGCAGGCAGGGCGGTGGGGACACCCCACAGGGTGGCAAGAGAAGGTTCTGTCGCTAGGAGCTGCCTGGGCTAAGGAGAATGGGCTAATGACACCTGGAGGCTGCAATTCATCAAGTGATGCCCACCTTCTATGAACCGCTGTGGGCTCTTGCTCTAGCCTCTCACTCACCGGGGAAAAGAGGTGGACACTCTCAAGACTTGGGGGAAAGTCAACATTTGGGGTGGGGGTGACTTCAGCCAGACTCAAACAAAAGAGCGTCTATTATTCTGAGCAAATCCCACCCAGGCCCGAGTTCCCCATGGGACACACCCAGTGTGGTCAGCACTATGGTAAAGGTAGGGGTGTGCTGGGAACGAGCTTGTGCTGAACCAAGCCTTCCGCTGGCTGAGCAGGTCGCTCAGGGCCCGCATGGATACATCAGCCTCTGTGCTGTGTGTGAAAACCGGTGTTCACAGCATCTAATACCCTTCGGGACTTTTCCCCCATGGCCTCCGCCCATCAAGCCTGAAGGCTTAACTCCGGTTATGCTCTCTCCCCTTGCAGCCCATGGCATCCCTCCTGCCTCTCAACTCCGCCCTGGGCTTCTTCTTGCTCTACTCTAAGTATCTGTCTCATGTGTGAGAAACAGGAGGTGGGAAGTGGGTGGGTAGGGATGAAACAAGGCTGGCTGTGGGGTGACAACTGTTGAAGCAGGTAATGGACACATACAGGTTCATTCTACTCTTTGACCCGCCTTTGTTTAAAATGTTCCATGACGAAGTTTTTAAAAAGAATTATCCATCTTATTCCCAAATGAGATCCTTGGGGCAGAAATGAATCTAATTCTTTGTATCAGCCACAACACCTAGCAAGAGATCCTACATACAGTTGATGCTCAATAAATGCATGCGAAGGCAGCTATGAAGCACCCTCTGGGTGCCGGGCTCTGGACTGGAGGCCAGAGGATACTAGGCATCAGATGTGGTTCCCTTTGCTTAAGGACAGAGGCTTGGGCTCCTCTTCAAAGCTCTGTTCCTGAGCAGTCGTAAGGGGCCAGTCCGCCTGTCTGTCCAGGAACCAAGATGACAGGAGCAGACACAAGTCCCAGGTGGGGCCCAGGCATGCATCCTCCCTACTCAACCTGCTCTCTTGCTTGCACTCTCTTTCTAAGGGTTGGTGAGCAGGCCTGCAGATGAGTTTTCCATCTGATCTAAGATGGGATTAGGTCGATTAGTTTAAATATATCAGGCACTTGATGTGCCATCACCCTTAATATGAGGTTTACATGCGGTGGCAGGAGACTCTATTAATTAATTTTACCTTAAACACTAGAAGGTCAGGCCCAAATAATTCAACATGCAGATTTATGCAAAATAGGCGAATTAGCGTTTGAGGCAGACAAGTAAGCCCCTATGTTTATTTTATTTAATCAAAAAGAATTCAGCTTTGGACAAGAAGAAATGATGATGTGAAAGGAGGCTTTTAATTCTATTAGCAACAATGTATTAGCAACAACCACGATGGTCAGGTCTCTGCCATGTGTGGGGCCTGGGCTGAGTGTGCCATGTCCTCCCAGCAACCTGGGGATGGGAGCTGTATTCTGAATCCCATTTCACAGGAGAGGACACTGAAGCCCAGAGAAGTGAAATATTTGTAATACCAGGGAGGAGAGCTGGGATCAGAAGCGTGTCTGCCTGAATCCAGGGTCTGTGTGTGTCCCCAAGAACCATTCTGCTTGGTCCACTGCTCTCTTGATTGGGCACAGACAGGAGATGGAGCTGGGAAGATAGGACAGGAGAGGGAATGGGTACAGGGGAGACAGTGCCCCCTAGCTCTACTTCACCCTCTGGGAGGTGGTGCATGGGTGGGATCGTAGGAGAGGGAAGCACTGACCTGGGGGACCACCAGGAGCCACTCCTGAGCCATTGCTTGGAAGCGGTAGCTGCTCAACCGGAAGAGGAGTGTGTGATGGGGGAGGGGTGCAGGGGAGCTGTGCCCGATCTGGCCCTGGGTTAGTGGAGCAATCCAGGCTGAGGTGTCGTAAGCAGTGGCCTGACCCCACACCTGTGCTGAACCAGCACAGGACAGATTCAAACCACTGAGTGTATAATCCTGAGGCTGAGCTCCTTAGTAAGGATGCTCCCAGCCCAGATCCTCAGTGAGCCCACCCCTGAGTCAAATACCTGGGGCCACCAGGGGGTCTCCGAAGTGGGAATTCTAGGCATCCAGCCAGCTAAGTGACACCAGCACCACCTGGGAGCCACATGGGCCCCTACGAGCCCGTCTTCAGGAAGGCTGCTCCCTGTAAGCTGTGCCCACACACATCTCACATAAGGACTTTCTCACTCGCCCCAATCAAGTGTGGGCCTTGGCATCTAAAGTCCAGGACGCCTTTGCTCCATAACCTTGTAGGCTATATTCATTGTTCAGAGCTCTTGACAAACAGAAAAGGGGTCTACAAACAAGAAGATCAAGTGCCCTGCGCCACACAGCTAGTAAGAATCCAAGTCCGGATGAGCCATTGCCAGAGGACAACAGGATGTCCCCACCACACCACGCGTCACAAGTCAAGTTTGTTAGAACCTTAAAGGGATAAACTGCACAGACTTCAGAGAGTCCCCATCATGTGTGTAATGCAAAATATGTGGGCATCAGTGTCTACAGGAACAAAATAAAAAATCAGCTCCAGCCATTTACCCAGAACAAGAAAAGCTGAAAGAAGGTTGGGGGCCGCATGCAATGAAGAAAAGTCCTTCTCGTCTGAAACACCTTCATTACACATACAGTCATTACAGAAATGACTAAAATCACAGAATCCACACAAAGGAGACAGGCTTCCCTTAGAGATCAGGCAAGTGGCAACAGTGAGCGTGCAAACGATGTTAGCACGTGCCTAATGCTCCCACGCACGCCCACACTTCAGCCCACGCGCAGGCCACGGAGGAGGTTAGTCCCACAGGGGAGTGGCTGGAGCCGCCCAGGGTTACACAGCTAGTAAGTTGCAGCCCAGAATTTGAATCCCAATCTGATTCCCAAGCCATGTCCTTCACTGTTCCACTCCACCTGCCTCTCGCAAGGCGCTAGAGAGCCAATCCCTCATCTGTGTTGTTTCCCAGCATATTTCCAATAAGGTCTACGAGGATTCAAAGAACTTGCTATTTGAATATCACCGCTTATAGATGCAGTCATAACCCCTTTAGAATGATAACCAGTTCTGAAGAGCCCCCAGCAGTTTAGAAACACCTGGACCTTCCCAACACCTGCTCACCTCCAATCCCACAAGGAGAGAAAAGGAAACCAGAGGAGTGGCTCCCATGCGTCAGAACCACAGCTGGCCGTGGGCAGACTGGCTGGGAGTCCCCGGCTACGTCCCCTCCATGGTCCTGCGTGACTCACCTGGGATATGTTTGGCCCAGCCGATGATGACCACGAGCTCTCGGTCTGCCAGGTCACAGAGAGTGGTCAGGGCCTTGATGTCACCCTCAGGCATGCCGGGGGGAGGCATGGCATAGAGCTTGTCAGGCTCAGCCACCAGCAGGTAGGAGACAATCTTGGTCACTGCAAAGACCAAAGGGGGAAAGTAAATGGCTGGAACGAGGAAAGGGGCCAGGGTGGAGCCTGGGATGGGTTGGGAAGAAAAGGCAGGTACTGAAGAGCCCAGGAAGGTCAAACACAGCCGTAATCTTCCCTCCCTTTCTGACTCTGCAAAGTTGCTGGTGATTCGGGTTATTGAGAAATATCCCTTCAAGGGAAGTTGCCTGGTGAATTCTCCCAAGAGAAACCTGCTTCGAGTGGATAGCTAGAGGGGCATGTTCCGGATGCCTGAGCCTAGGCCTTCTCAGGACCATGCTTCATCTGGAACCACATTCTGGGGCATCCCATAGGGAAAGGCCTGAATAAAGCATCATTCTAAAGTACCAGACACCAATGCCAGGCACTGATGCCACCTCCCCAAAAACCTTCATTGTCCCATAACCCAGCGCTGGGAAGATGGCATTTCCCCAGGGGGTGCCAGATGTTCCAGTACAGATGCCGGCAGATGGGGCATGGACTGCCCTGGCACTCACATGGCTTTTTAGCAGGTGGGGAAATCTGTAAGCTCAGGTATGGGCTGCTCTCGGAGTCCAGCCGCCGCTTGTATTTCTGGCGGCCTCCACGCACTCGGTCCAGGCGCACGCCTGTTGGGGAGGAAAGGGAGAAAGTCTCAGGAGTTGCTCACCATTCCCAGGGCTGTTTGCACAGACTTTGGGATTTCAGCCCTGGCTGAGTCCTTCAGGGCCACACCCAGATGGCCCCTTACAGCTGCCCCATGGCCAGCCTCAGGCCAGGCAGTTGGACAATCCTAAAACAATTTTCTACAGTAATGGCCCATCCCAGTTGCTCCAGGCCTGGTCCTGACTCTCCGGATTCAGCATCCCCCTGAAATCCATCCCAAGCAACCTTCAGCTCTTGAGTCTTTCTGTCTCTAAAAGGGAACGAGCAACAGAAGCATTCCTCCACGTGCTGGGGAAAGAAGACGCGCTATTTCAGACCCAGGGAGGGCTGAGTCAGCTCGCCAAGAGGGGAAAGTATCTCAACAGAGTTAAAAACCGGATTTTCAAACTTTTCACCTAAGAAGCATCTGGTGGGCCCTCATTACAAATGTCAATTTCTGGATCTCACTCTCAGAGATTCTAGGGCAGAGTTCTAGAGTTGGTCATCTACGCAAAGTCCCCACAGGATGGGGAAACAGGTGGCCCTGGTCACGTCGGGGCAATCGATGCCTAGAATTAGCTCAGCGGCAGGTGCAGAAGCAGTGTGGTCACCCCACACTGACACCCATGTCCAGGAGTGAGGCCCAATCCTAGAGAGATCCCTATTGTCACAGGGTCCCTACTGCCTTCAGAAGAAACCAGCCCCACCCTCAGCTCCTGCTGTCTAGACAGACAGACACGTTGTACCACCTGACACCCCCACCAACAAGCAGAGTGGGCAGGACCTGGAGAGGGCTCCTCATCCTAGGGCAACAAGCTCAGGCTGGCCACCACCCTGCACGGTGTCACCCGAGAAGATGGCCGGGACCCATCACATTAGCTCTAAAGTAGACTGGCTCTCCTTTCCCTACCGTGAAATGGGCCTTGACTAAAACACATGAAAAGTCAGGAGCCAGAGTCCTGGGAGGACAAGAGCTCAGTGCCTCCTCAGGCGGAGGTGACGGCCAGGTCACCTCCCTCCTGCTGGTCCTAGCCTCTTCCCTCCTCCTAGCCAGGGGTACTGGCAAGTCCCCCAGCCCTCATGGTGAGGGAAGAAGAGGGCGGGGAAAATCCTAATTTAACGGAATGGGAATTTAGATCCCATTCACGCCTGGGTTCATTTTCTGGAGGTTTCTTTGTTAGGATGTACAGGAGAGGAAGTTTATTAGGACAACTGAGAGTAAAATTACTGTTTACTCAATGGCAAGGACCATCTCTTTAAATACTAATTGCCCTAAAGGAACTTCTAGGGATGCGGAGTGCCCATCGCCCTGTGCTTCCAGTGAAGGGCTCAGCCGCATCGGATGCTGTGAGCTCACCGAGCCCAGCAGTCAGCCTGAGGAAAATGTCTTTGGGGGGCCAGTCACTGCTCAGCATTTTCATCAGTAGCCTCCTTTTCACCCAACAAAATAGAAACTCAGCACCCCATCCTGCGTTCTAGTTAAAGGTAATTCCCCTATTGTGGGTCTTGTTGCCGGGCCTGTGCCCACCCCCACTGTGGATATCAAAGTGGTCCAGGTCCTTCTCTCCACCCTCTGGAAGCATGGACTGGTGACACAGGCAGAGCCAACTGGCTTTGAATCAGGATTGAATGGCACAAAGACAGAGGGAGGGTGAAGATGGGTGAGGGAAGCAGTGGTGACCGCAGCAGCAGGGGCGTGGGCTGCCCTGGGCCATCCTCTCCCGGTTACTGCATCTCCTGAGCCTGGGCTCTCCTGGCCTCCACTAATCCTTGTTTGGCTCCTGACTGTGGTCCCTGAGCCTCCTGATAGGCTTCCAGTGAACTCCCCTTTTGCTTCAGGGGTCAGAGTGTGTTGCAAATGACCACATCTGTACTGGAGTTCTCCAGGAGCAGACTTGAACAAGGATGCCCGTGAGGCAGTTTATTTGGGGGGCCATCCCAGGAAGGCAGGCATGAATGAGTGAGTTCTTGAATAGGCTACTGCTGTGGGCAACTGAGGACCCTGGGAGACAGAGTAGAACATGCCTCCACTCCCCCAAGGGGTAAGGCCTTGGGGCATTTAGCTGCCTCCCGCAGTCACTGGCGCTTCTGAGGTCCAGGCTGAGCCCTGGGTAGAGCTGCAGTCACAAGGTGGCAGGTCAGCTCGCCAACAAGCGATAGAGGGCTGAGTAGATGTGGGTGCGGCACCGAGGGCTGCCTTCCTTCTCAAAGTGTGGTCCAGGGCCAGCAGCATCAGCAGCATCCAGGAGCTTGTTTAAAATGCAAAAATCTCAGACCTGGCTCCCAAGGAATCAGAGTCAGCATTTTAACAAGGTGATTCGCAGCGCACAGGAGTTTGAGAAGTGCTGCACTCTAGCATCCTAGCAGGTCGGCTGTCGATCAACTTCCATCAGTCCCTGGGACCAGAGAGGGGACAGCTGAATCCTACCTGGCACAAAACCTAAACACGTGCTGGTACAACTTCGGCTCACATTTGCCCCCTCACCCCTCCCAGACCCTTCAGAGAGGGCAGAAGGAGCAGGCACACAAATGCAGGGAGGATGGTTCCTCCCTTGAAGGTTTTTGGGGAAAAGTTCTCTGTTTGGCAGTTTTCCTGGCGCCATCCTGTGACACAGCCACACAGCAGCTCCCTCTGCCCACTACACTGGAGGGAAGTGGACCCTCCACCAAGCTCTGCTTCCCCAGAGAGCTGGTAAGACCAAGAGTGAAAGCGCAACGCTTCATTCATGAAGGACGGTGAGGACTCCCATTTCCTGAGCACCTACTATGTGCGAGCGTGTGATGTGGAGTCCAGGATGAGCCCCTTCCCCACTTCACCAATTTTCTCTCCTAGAGGGCCGCCTGATGAGCTCTCCCCTCCCACCCAGCCTGCCTGACCCCAGGCAGCTATCAACAAGAGTAGAAACTTCTCAACAAAAAGTAAAAGGAGGCACCCATCCCTTAGCAAGACAAGGAAAGGGGCAGTTGCCCACCTCTGGCTCTGCCTCCATCTAGAATGTTCTCTGTCCTGATATAGTACCTGACCCTTTAGCGGGTGTTCAAAAAGTCGATGAATACAGCCATGGGTGTGCCTCCTTCTTCCCCACCCCACCCAGGCCAGGTTCCTCTTCCAGGGCTCCCACAAAAAACTGGGCTCCCCCCGCCAACTAGACGCCCCTGACGTCCAGGGACTCGGTCCTACTCCAGGGTCTGCCATGGCACCCAATACGCAGTGGACGCTTAAGGAATTGTGACTATTACTATCATCACCATCATCATCATTTTTCTTCCCCAGCACTGTGCAGGTCTCTCCGGAAAATCACATTAATAATGACAATGCAAACAGCCTACTTTACAAGGCCTTTCTATATGTATCGCCCTATTTAATCCACAGCATATAAGCAGGTGCTATTATCCCTACTTATCCCTATTTTTCAGAGAGATTTAGTAATTAAAAGAGCCAGCATCCAAGCTCTTTGCCATTCCAGGGTCTGACCTCCCAGGGCACAGAAGTGTAAACTCTCCTCTAAATTTTCTCCTCCAGATCTTTATACAGCACAGTGGTCAATGGCTCCAATCGATAAAAGTATCAATTATCAGGTTATTTTGTTTTTTAAAAAAGTACCCTGTTGGCGTTGATTATGCGCAAACTGACACGCGGTGTGAGACCTGTTCACTCCTGGCTTCCTGTCTGCCTTTCCGTCTGCACAAGCCCACGACTGCCCCAGCCCAGGGGGGCCAATGGCCTAGGTCCCAGGCCGNTGTTTTTTAAAAAAGTACCCTGTTGGCGTTGATTATGCGCAAACTGACACACGGTGTGAGACCTGTTCACTCCTGGCTTCCTGTCTGCTTTTCCATCTGCACAGGCCCAGGGGGGCCAATGGTCTAGGTCCCAGGCCATCTCTGCCCTTAGGGGTTATGCAGCCTTGGCTGCATCGTCAGGAACAGAGNGCCCAGGGGGGCCAATGGCCTAGGTCCCAGGCCGTCTCTGCCCTTAGGGGTTATGCAGCCTTGGCTGCATCGTCAGGAACAGAGAAGGCAACAGTAACACCAGCTCTGCTCACCACATATGGCTTTTGTGACAATCAAATGCTCCATAAGTTGGAAAGTGGTTCGGGCAGGCCAGGCCAGGCCAGGCTGTCACTCCCATCGCTCTGCGCATTCACCTGGCACCTCTCATGCCACCTCCCGCTCGTTTCCCTCTATTCCCATCAGCTCTTCCATTCAATGGGCTCTTAGAGGACAGGGCCCAGGTCTGCTCCATTTGCTGAGCTCCCTCTCGCCCCCACACACTGACCCACGGGCAGGGTTTGCTAACGATCATTTGGGTAGAAGGGCCCTGGGGCAGAAATATGGGCTTTCCAACCCAGGGACCCCTTCCCACGGGCTGGGGCTGGGCAGATGGGCCCCCATCTAAGGAACATGGACTTATCCCTCCTGCCCACACCATTCCCAAAGGCAATTCTCATCCAGAATGTATGAAGGCCCAGTTCAAATATTATCTCTACTGAGAAGTCATTCTGACTCCCACTGGCCAAGCTGTCCACACCCTTCCTAGCAGAGCTGTCCACACTTTCCTTTGCTCACCCTCTCTTACGGTAACTATGGTCAAAACAACTCTTCACAATACACCACACACCCATCTCCCTGGTGGACTGTCGGCGCCTCCTGGGCAAGGACTTTCATTTGTCTTTGTAGCCCAATCCAGTGTCTGAGTACAGTAATGTGCCCAGCTAAGATGAAGCCCCTCTGACTTAGGAAACAGAAGAATCTCAGGGTCTGGTCTTTTCTCCAGTTTCCATTTCTTCCTCTAGCCTCTAGAAATTCACTCCCTCAAGGCAGCCCATTCCTCAGGAAATTTCCCATTTGTGCTGAGCTAAATTCTGTCTCTGAATCAGTTCCTACCCTTCACCCTATCCAACAAGGCTATACCCTTTACAAGACAACCCTTTATGGACTTGAACTTCCTTGGGCACCCTCCTTCCGTATCCAGGCACCCTTTATT